TTTCTAATTTTGTTGTAGAGAGAGTATAAGCAATAATAGGAAGGAACAAGGGTTTTTGCTGGTTGAGATAAGGATAGCTATAAAGGGCATTGACTCTCATTGATTTCCTGTGCATGGGTGTTAATGGTCAATATTTATCAAAGTCTCAATGACCTTAGAAATAGTCCTAACTTTTAATCCAGCAAATGAATTTCTGGGCTGCTATCCCTAAATATATTTACATAGGTATAAAGTGGTGCAATAATAGGATTATCCATAGCAGTATTATTCATAATATGAAAAGATACATATTAAATGTCTTTGAAAAAGGAACTGATTACAGAAATAATACATCCATACAATATAGTGCTCTGGAACCATTAAAAAGGATGAGATATTCAGATATAGTAAGTGAAAAAAGAAACATGGGACAATGTACAGTATACTACTACTTGGAATAAAAGAAAAACAATATGTAAATATATTTATTAACTTACTAACATATGTGTTTCTGGTTGCATAAAATACCTCTGGAAGAGTACACAAGAAACACAGCTCTCACAGTCTAGGAAGGAGAAATGAGGAACAAGGTGGGAAAAATTCTGCCCTATCTACATAGTGTTGTGCACCTTTTGAGGGTAGGACCACGTGAATACAGCACATCTATTTAATTTTTTTAAATTTTTAAAAATTTTTTTGGTGGTGCCTGGGCTTAAACACAGGATCTCACATTTGCTAGGCAGGTGCTCTACCACTTGAGCCACTTCATCAGCCTTTTTTTGTGTTGTGTATTTTCGAGATAGAGTCTCAAGAACTGTTTGTCCAGGGCTGGCTTTGAATCAGATCTTCCTATCTCTGCCTCCCGAGTAGCCATGATTACAGGCATGGACCACCATGCCCAGCTTAAAATATTAAGTTATTGATAAATCTGAACAATTTATTTGTTTGAACAGAAGAGAGCAGCCATCATAAACATCACTTGTTTGGAAATGTTTAGTTTATGTGTACATACCTGATTTTCTGTTTTGTTAGTGCCCACTGTCTTGAAGTCATCTTGTTTACTTATGATCTTCTGCAGCTGAAAAGAGTGCAAACATGAGATTACATGCATGTCTATTGGAGTTTTCAAAAAAATCTAAAAATAGCTGCTAAATTGTTACTATTAAGTATATATTAGTTATCTGTTAAATACTAACTTAAATACTTTTTGCCCATTATCCACTTTGCTGAGATCATGTAAGAATCAATGGAGAAAATAAAGGAATTAACACTATTATTATAATTTTTTTAATAAAAAAATTACAATAATACTTTTTACTTAATAGATATGTTCTAAAGGCAGCAGTCTCTATAAAAATTCATGATTACCTTGTCTTTCTTTCAGAAGAATTTTTATTCAAAATTTTTTTATATCATTGATAGTTATGGCCACATGTTCAAGTGCATGGCTTTTAAAAAGCTATTTATATTATACATATACATGTTCTTCCTTCTTTTATGTATTTATAAAGCACTAAAATACTTACATTTCTATTAAGTATAAAACTATTAAGAGTCCCT